AACTCCAGTCCCAGGGGATCTGACAGCCTCTTCTGACCTCCACGGGCATTGCACGACACAGGTGCACTTACCTACATGCAGGCAATACGTGCATATACATAAAATAAATAAATAAATAAATAAAATAGAATAAAAGTATGTAGTGATTATGCCATTTAATTCAGTTCTGGCAAATAATATGGAATATTTTGAAAGCAACATATGACCTACTATCTTACTAGATTGCCTTGAATCCAGCTCTGACATGAGGCTTTGTGTACAGGGAAATGCTCTCAGAAGAGATGGGTAAGGACGTGGGGGATACAACAGAGAAGAAAAAGAAACCAAGAAGGCTGTGAACTCAGCAGGTGCCCAGAAGAGTGTTTTCACTGGTGTTATCTGCAGCCTCACAGTTGTGGCCCAAAGCAAGGGAGCTAAACTTCGGTCTCCCAAAGTGATCACTCATAGCTAAGTATCACCCTTAAAAGTCATAAACTCTCAGACTCTTCTGGTTCTCGGTGTCTGTGGGCACTGCTGCTCCAGTAGCCTGGGGACAGTCCTTTGATGAACGGCAGGTCAGGAGCTGTTGGAAGAAAAATGACATGAATGGTGGAAGGGGGTGTATAGAAGCAAAAGGAGTCTAGGGAGCTGAGTGAGAGGCAGCAGTGTTCTCTCTCAGGAAATATGGAAGAGTGACATGAGCCAGGTGGCAGAACAGGATACTATAGCTCTTGCCCCTCATAGAAACAGCACTTTGAGTTACTGGGTATGATTTGATTTAGATCTGTGCTTTAGCAAGCAGACAACTAAAGAAAGGAACAAAAGTACTAATTAAATATTTATTTCCTTAATCATTCATCCTTAAGAACCAGTAAATATTTATTTAGCAATTAAAAACATATTCACATACAAAAAATACCTTCAAAGAGCCAGGAGACTTGGGTGAGGAATTATAGCACTAGGACACAGCATATAAGTAAAATGCACTGAAAGGTCGGGTGTGGTGGCACATGCCTTCAGTCCCAGCACTTAGGAAGCAGAGGCAGGCAGATCTCTGTGAGTTCAAGGCCAGCTTGGCCTACAAAGTGAGTTCCAGGCCAGCTGGGGCTGGGAGACCCTGTTTCAAAAATACAAAAGAAAGAAAGAAAGAAAGAAAGAAAGAAAGAAAGAAAGAAAGAAAGAAAGAAAGAAAGAAAGGAAGGAAGGAAGGAAGGAAGGAAGGAAGGAAGAAAAAAAGAAAGAAAGAAAGAAAGAAAGAAAGAAAGAAAGAAAGAAAGAAAGAAAAACTTATTCTGACAACAGAGAAGCTACCTTGAGCCAAGATTACTACAGTGCTAGGTTGGCCTCTGAGAACCTACAGACACAAATTCCAAGCATCTTCTTAGGGATCCAAACTGTAGCTCACCCTATATGGAGTCAGGGCATAGGCTATCTCACTTGCCAACTCAGACATCAAAATGGTTTGCCCAAAACAAACCCATCACAGACTCTTGTTGAGATCGGTGAAGGACTTTCCCTGTCAAAACAAGTCTCTAAGACTGGTGGGTAGGTGTCTTTTTCAAATATACAGACACCATTTCATAGCAGTCTTATCCAGTATGACATTATGGATGAATCTGGAGGACACTGCATAAGGAAGACAAGCCAAAGAAACACAGAAAGGCAAATACTATATGATCTGTCTTGTATAGAATTTTTGGAAAAATTTTTAAGCCAATCTTATGATATTACTATGGTAACAGAGAGTGCTATGGTTACCAGGGATTTGAGGAGATGTTAATGAAAGGGTATAAGTTTTCAGTTATAGAATGAGTAAGTTCTAAAGACCTAATATATAGCACGGTGACTACTATTAATGACAACATATTGCATACTTGAAGTTTGCTAAGCGAGAGCTCAGATGTTCTTACCAAGTACACACAAACATAAATAGGTGAGGTGATGAGTAAATTAGCTCTATTGAAACTGGTAAATACACACATACACATAAACTTGAAGGCCTGAGTCTCACACAAGAATCAGAAACTACAAAAGATATTCACATGTCAAAATCACAGAGAAAAAATAATAACATGAAAAACCAAAATAACATATCCCCACCAAATACCAATAGTCCTCTAGAGGAGTACAATGAGAAGCCCCTAGAGATAATGCAGGACATGGAACTCAAAAGAACAATTATAAACATGATAAAAGAATTCAGCAAATTTAAAGAACACACAAAAAAAGAAATCAAAGAACTCAAGGGAGATAAGGATAAACTTATGAATGAATTCAGAAAAGAGTTAGAAATATTGAAGAATACTCAGGCTGAAATGAAGAAGGAAGTGAAACACTCAGTAAGCCAATTAGAAATGACAGGAGAAAGCCTCACCAATAGGATGAATGAAATGTAAAACAGTATAAATACTGGAAGACAAAGTGGATGAACTAGACCACTCAAGCAAAGATTATGAAAAATTTAAGAAATCACAAGAATGGAATATGCAGGAATTGTGTGACACCATAAAAAGGACAAACTTACAAATCACAGGCATGCAGGAAGGAAAAGAATCCCAAGATAATGGCAAGGACCAGATCTTCAACAGAATCGTGGAAGAAAATTTCCCAAAA